ATCGGTTCTCGATTCGAGTACCCGTTCGGGTATTTAATTTATGAAGAACCGCTCGATTCGGTTCGGTTCGGTTCGGTTCGATTCTGTCCGGTCCGGTTCGGGACTTTTGGACACCCCTACATAATACTCTCAGTAATGCATAATCATCTCATCGCACAAATCATAAGAGTGTGGTTGATTGAATTTATAGGGTTGACGGTATTGAAAATCGTATATAAACTCAGCTAAAATATAACATTAATTCTAAATAGATTGCTAGCTAATCTTCCTCTTCTTTCATTTTCGCTAATACTAACTCTAAAAAATCGGGGCTTTGGCTAGGGTAAATTCCGTCGCAAATATTGTTACCTACAACGTTTGCACTATTGGCAAAGTGTTCGACCAAGTAATGTTCATTTTAAATAAACGTGTCATTCGTATAATTGAAATTTTTTAAACAAAGAGCTCTACATTCATGATTGCTTATAAAAGAAAAAAATACGTGTGTTTTCAACCCTCCAAAGCAAAACCGTTTAGTGGGAAATGGAAAACAAAGAGTTCTAACTTTGACATTATCCGTACATGTTTTTTACGTGCCTTCAAATAATAATTAGAGTAATAGTCGAGTGTAATTTTGTTCTATTTTTTAACGTCATTTTTGTCAAAAAGAATCAAATGTTCTAACAAAAATAAGCCTTTTTCTGGTTCACAATGGAGTAGGGTGGACTCGATCGGACTCCCTCATTTAATTTTTTTAGTGTAAAAAAATAATGTAAAAAAATTTTGTAAACTTTTTTTTTTTTCCACATTAGCTCAACTTGTAATCCGATTCTGAATCTGTGTACTTTTCAATATTTTAATAATTGATGCTGGTTGGGTTTTCATGGTCTAATTCGAAGATTTTTATGCGCCAATAGATCTTAACTTTCAAATGAATGTATGACGCATTCATAATCACACAGTCAGCAAAGGCAAATGATTTGGGGCTCTTCTTTCTTTCTTTCTTTCGAGCCTGTTTGTTTTGGATTAAAATATGCTTTTAATATAAGTTAAAGTTAAAGTCAAACAATCAATAGTAACTACATCTTTTTATAGGTCTCACAACTTTTCAACCACATATTTCAAATATTTCTATCACAATCTATTGAAAATTTAATTTAAATCCCCACCAAACACCCTCTTCTTTTTGTCTTCTTTTCATGGACCATATTGCCCTTTTAGGTTGACAAATTAGACGATGTATAGCTTGCCAGAGTTCTACTTGATGCACAGAAAATGGTTCATAGAAAATTTACAAACTACCACATGACAGTTTTTTATGCATCCTAGCCAAACACAAAAAATAGCACAA